GCTGAGAGGGTGTGCTGCTGGAGGACTGAGGAGCACAAACGTTATCAGACACCAGGAGGAAGGTCTTCCAGTGCTAGCTCTAAAACCAGCAGCTCGGCAAATACCAAAGCAGTCATATCACTTTTTTAAGCGTGGTCCATAGTTGCCTATGGCAGTGGTTCCCAAACTTTAACAACCCGTGAACCCCTTTCACTAAAATGTGAAATCTTGTGAATCCCCTCCTAAAAATGAACATTTCCAGGGATTTAAGTTTAAATCTCCTCAGCGTGATGCTAACATTCACTCACCTCTCACTGAAGCAAAACAGCACTCCAGAGAAAATGACTTAGTATCGAATTACTGAGGCACCTGAACGCTGCTACAGTGATGACTACCTGGTTCCAGCGGGTTTGGCGCGCAAACACTTTTTCTTCCACCACCAGGACTACCCCTAGGAGGGTGTCCCATGAGGGACAAATTAGCCTGGACCACCCCCCACATACAGCATGGCCCCTGCTCACTCTGCCCCTCATGCCACCCAACTTCCCGCCTGCCAAAGACAGGGGTCCAAGCTGCCACCTGCGTGCCTGGGGTCCCAGCTGCCGCCCTGCCCACGATGGGGCTCAGGCTCCTGGCCCCTGCTGGCCGGGCTCTGGGCTGCCGGCTCTGCACTCTGTGGGGCTCGGGCTGCCGGCGCCTCCGCTGACCGGGGCTCGGGCTGCTGGCCCCGCGGGACTCGGGATGCTGGCCCCACGCTGACTGGGGCTCGGCTGCCCACTCAGCGCTCCACAGGGCTCCACAGTCTGCGCTGCAACTGGGCCACACCTGCTACCTCCCATGCCTGGGGTCCTCTGGCCGCCATTAAGGAAATTTTTCTGGCGAACCCCCTGTAACATTGTGCGAACCCCCAGGGGTTTGCGAACCCCAGTTTGGGAGCCACTGGCCTACGGGGAAGGGGTGAAAGGTAATTTTTGGCAAATATATTCATGGGAGCAATATATTCATGATGAATATGTACAAAGGGAACAGCTGCTCCACTACGTATATTGCGTGGGCTTTACACAAGCTGTGACAAGTATCAGCCAAGAGTGCGGTCTAGCAATTAGAGCAGGGGATCCATGGGTTCTATTCCTCACTCTGCTTCTTACTTAGTGCATGACCTTGGGCAAGTTGCCTAAATGATCCATGGTTCAGTTTCCCCATCTGTAAAATGGAGATCATACCGCAGGCCTCACAAGGGTGTTGGGTGGCTCAGCACCTCTTTGTAAAGCCCTTTGGGATCCTTAGTTGAAAGGTGCTATGGAAGTCTGGTGTGTTCATTATAATTATCTTAGTAAATCCAATAAAGAAATCTACGGGACAAGGAAAAAAAGAGAGAGGGAGAGGAGAAGGAAGAGGAAAAGAGGTATGCATGCAATTGTTTAATTGATTCTTCCCAGAACACAGCTTCCTGCGTTCATTGTCAAAGAGGATCATTCATTAACCTAGTTGCAAAAGAAGCCCTTTGCAAAACACCACACTCCTGTCTGTGTTTGTGGGCTCAGAGGGAAAAACATCATGAGTGAGCAAATGGAAAATCCAAGTGCTTAGGTACCCTTAGCACTGTTTAAATGTACCGGTCACTTAGCAGACAGGCTTCCAGGAGTTCTGACCATCCTTGGCCAATCTGCTCCTGTTGGACACCATGTTTGCTTAGCAATAACCCCTTCTTCTCTGGAGTTCCATAGACGAAATTTGCAACCTCTTTTTCCCAGGGACGAAGTTGAGAAGACTTCTGGTTTTAAACCTAGGCCAGACCTACGCGTAAGCCTGGTCTACACTGGGGGGCGGGAATCGATCTAAGATACGCAACTTCAGCTACGAGAATAGCGTAGCTGAAGTCGATGTATCTTAGATCGACTTACTTCGCGTCCTCGCGGCGCGGGATCGACGGCTGCCGCTCCCCCGTCAACTCTGCTTCCGCTCTCGCCCTGGTGGATTTCCGGAGTCAACAGGAGCGTGTTCGGGGATCAATGTATCGCGTCTAGACGAGACGTGACACATCGAATCCCGATAGATCAATCACTACCCGCCGATCCGGTGGGTAGTGTAGACATACCCATAGACTGACCTAGTTACCTTGCTCAGGGGCTCTGAACAATTTTGCACTTGGAACACTGTAATTAGATTGACCTCACCCTGGTGTAAACATGGCTAGGTTGACGGAAGGATTCTTCCGTCAGCCTCTCAGAAAGACAACCTCTTCCACTGCTGTTGGAAGTGTCTACACCACGGTGCTACAGTGGCATAGCTTCAGCAGCATCGCTCTGCCACTGCAGCGGTTACCATGTAGACATACCTTTAGTTCCAACTTCTAGCTCTGCCTGCATTCAATGAGGAAAAATTAAACCGAGGAGGCAACGTGAAGCACAAGCTCTTTCCTCGGGTCCAGGAGATGTGGGTCAGAGGATCCTTCCCGGCCATATTGTCTCAACCCATAAATGTCCCATTTTCTCCACATCACAGCAAGACTGCTCTGGCTTTTGTTGAAATCAAGGGCCAAATTCCCATTCAGTGGGAGCATGATAAGGTCTAGTCTGTGTAAATACCATAGGCCTGATTCCCCACTACCCTGCACCTCCTGTGCAAAGTGGATGAAACACACCACCAACTTCAGATCACGCCCACTTTGCAGAGATGTATAGATCCTCAAGGTGCACGGCACAGGAGAGCCAGACCCAATGGACTTACAGTGGTGCCAGAGAGAAGGGAATCAGTCCACGACAATGTCCTTGCCCCTTGGGCCAAATTCTGCTTCTATTTAAACTAGTGTCAAGGTAGAGTTTCCTCATTGGAGTCACTGGTGGAATGATTATAGTAAGACCACAGGGCTAGCTCTAGGCAAGCTGGAAAATGCCCACTCCTTATTAGCCTGCAATCTCCCAGTCAAAACCACTTCGCAGAGCCAGGCGATCCGGCCCTGTAGCCACACAAAATAGCAGCCCTTCTAGTGAGATTGGGGACCCTGCCCCCATAAATCCTCATGCCTTGTGTCTTTCTTTTGTGAAGGTGCTAAGAAGACGGACACCAGCCAAGCCCTTGCCGATCCCACTGCTGCTGGAGAGGAGGCGCAGCCGGCAGCGGTGGTCGTGAACGGGAAAGATGATGACCAAACTGCAGAAGACACCCTAAGCAAAGGAATGAGCCAGATGACCACAACCACAGATGCTGACCCAGATGCCCCTAAGGACAAAACCGAGTCAATTACTAGTGGGCCTGTGTCCCCAGAAGGCTCGCCATCCAAATCTCCCTCCAAGAAGAAGAAGAAATTCCGGACCCCATCCTTCCTGAAAAAGGGCAAAAAGAAGGAGAAGGCTGAATCTTGATTCCTCTCCAGGCCTTCTCCTCCTGCTGCTTCCTTCCTTCTCCCCCACCCACCAAGGTCACCAGAGCAGTAGAGGAAGCTGATAGCCAATAGCTGCCTCTCCTAGAATGGTTTGTGCTGAGATAGAACCAGAGGTTGAGGGTCCTGGAATGACTCCTGTGTAATACATGTGGCTGAGACAACATCTAGACTTTGGGGGAAATGAGGCAAATTTTCTGGGTACTCATGGCGCGAGACGTATCATTCCCTGTTAAACCGGTTTTTGAAGAAGTAAGCGAGTTTAGGAATGATTGTGGTCCTTATTTTCTGCTCAAGGGAGCTAGTCACTAATTTCACAAGCTGTAAAACTGGTTCTCTGTACCAGTTCCTCCACAGCACTAATGCTCCAAACCATTTATCTCCTGTGGGCTGTTTTTCCACATGCTGCTACCTTTACAGCCCATGTGGCCGCCTTTTAGAAATAATTTGGTGCAAGAAAAGACCCTCGTGAAACAGGAGGGGACATTGACAATGATTGATTCCCTTTTTCCAGTTCTGCAGTGGAATCCTGGCTAATTACAGTGTTGCAATTCGCTGTATAATCTCAAATGGAGACGATCCAGTTTTATCAAAACCCAAAGGTGAAGGATTGCTCTCCTAGAAGGAAGGGTCAGGCTATGGACCCATGACCTTTTGCCTCCTGGGCCTTACACCTAGGCCAACAAGCCATTTTCAAGTTCCTTTCTAGCCAGAATGGTGACACCAAGTTATCTAACGATCCATTTGCTGCAGTAGTGAAGCCTCTTGGAAATGACTATTGTGTCTCAGTCGGTGGGGAAGTACACAAATCCCTCCCTCACAATAACACACAAGATAACGTGTCCCACTATATTTATAGTGGTAAGAGCGGGGAAGGAAAAAAGCCTCCGGGAACTCTCTATGTTAAGTTTAAGAAGCAAGAAAGTTTCAGTCACTAAGTGCTATTTTGTTAGTTTGGAATAAATGCACGCTGACGATATCACTCCTGTAATAATCACTCCAGAATGAAAAGCCTATAGAAAAGGCGACTTCACCCCCACTTGCTGCGCTACTAATTAATTACACTTAGATGAGGCTGTGATGCAGATATGAGACCTGTTAGCACTTTTCATTGCGTTCAGCTTCCGCTGGCTCAGCACATGCCATTCTGGACTGGCAGCGAAGAGGGGTTGTGAGTGCATTCCCTCTTCCCCACCCGCACTCTCCCACCAACCCCGACTCCAGAGTGAAAATGAAACACGAGTTCACACCTGTGACATGTTATTGCCAACTGGCTTAACCTGCCCCCCCCCCATCTCTAACCTTCACCCCCTCTTCAAAATAAGACAAAGTTACCAACAGATGAGGATTATTACAATTTACAATCAGAGAATCATAGAAATATAGGGTTAGAAGGGTCATTGAGAGACCATCTGATTCATCCCCCCATGCTAAGGTAGGATTAAGTAAACCTAGACCATCCCTGACAGGTGTTTGTCCAACCTGTTCTTAGAATCCTCCAATGATGTAGATTCCACATCCTCCCTCGGTAACCTGTTCCAGTGCTTAACCATCCAGATAGTTAGAAAGGTTGAGCTAACATCTAACCTATCATGCCACAGTTAAAGGAGATAAACAGGCCAATGTTCCTCTGTCAGTTTGAGGACTCTGGCATTAAAGGTGCTAACCAAATGAGAGCTTGATCTTGCTCCATTGAAACAGGATTTCCATTGGCTTAAATGGGAGCTGGATCAGACCCCGAAGGCTTACGGTCGCTGTTCTCAAACAATGGGCTATTGTTAGTCCGCAGAATGGCACTTGGAGAACCATGCAAGGGAGTGGGGTGGGGTGTGTGTGTGTGTGTTGAGAAACTGGGAAAGAGGTGGTCCATGGAGAAATCTTTCTCTGTCATCAGGTCCACAGAATGGAAGGCTTGAGAACAACTGATGTAGAAGGATATTGTAGTCTGTATACTGACGCAGTATTCTGGGTCAGGCTCATCGCTAACGTCTACCAGTAGTTCTATAAGATCAGAAAGCGAGGCTACTTTCTGTAGTGGCCTGGACTTGAAACAGTGACGCTGAACGCCAATGAAGTTTGGATTTGGATGTGATTCCGGATCCATAATTTGTGAGCCGGATCCATCTCTGCCTGTATGAAGCAAAATGGTTGGAAAAATTCTGATAAAAAAGCAACACCTTTCGTTGTGTTTTTTTATGTTCCAACCCTGTGGTTTTCAGAGTCTCATTTGTGCTGGAATGAGGCTGTGGGGTCTAGTGGTTAAAGCACATGACTGCATCTTAGGATACCAGGGTTCTATTCTCAGCTCTGGCCTGGTGGTTGACCTTGGATTAGTCTCTGCACCTCAGTTTCCCCTATGTGCTTTGAGCTCTGCTGTTGAAAAGTGCTATATGTGAACGCTAGGTATGGTTATTTATTATTCCCCTTCACAGTAACAGAATCTGTTCAGGCAAAATGTCCTTGAAATAATCTTTTTTTAATAAGGCTCTTGTGGTGGGGAATCCAAGAACGTGCATTCCAGCAAGATCCATACTGAGAAAGTAGCTGATGCATTTTCTTCATAGGGTAGGGAATCAGCTCCCCAATCTTGCATCACGATTTGCCTTAATACAGAACTTTGGGGTGATTCGCAATTTTTAATAAGCACCAATATCTTGCTTTGCCACCTTTTTTTTGGGGGGGGGGTAGAATGGAGGGGAAGATATTTTGAAAACACAAGTTATTTTTATTTTAAAGAGCAAGTTACTAGGTGTGCTTGGCAAATGTGGAACATGGAAAAAAAATCAACAAAAAAAACCTCAGCAGCAAAAACGCCGGACCTTTTAGATATGTGCTCTTGGTGTTCATGTATGCTAGATAAATTAAATCCAGGTCCTTAAGGTTAGCTGTGCTTAAGTTTCTGTTGCCTAAATCCATTGTATGCACGATGGGCAGATTTTGACAAATTAAAGGCCCAAACCTATAAATATTTACTGTTGGATGTTGTGCTTATTAACATTAGATTTTAAGGCCAGAAAGGTTCATTATGACCATCTAGTCTGAATTCCTGAATAACACAGGCCAGAGAATTTCACCCCGAGTGATCCTGCGGAGTCAATGGTTATTATTGACCATGATATCTTATTGTTATTTAATATCTGAATTACAACCCTGCCCAGAGGCCCATGATCCGGATTGAGGCCCCATTGGACTAAGTGCTGTATAAACATAGATGAAAGTAAAAAGCAACAGAGGGTCCTGTGGCACCTTTAAGACTAACAGAAGTATTGGGAGCATAAGCTTTCGTGGGTAAGAACCTCATTTCTTCAGATGCAAGTACAGTACTTTTTACAGATTCAGACTAACACGGCTACCCCTCTGATAGATGAAAGTGTGGTCCCTGCCTCCAAAGAGCTTGAAATCTTGGGTCCTGCTTCTGCAACAGACGCCACAGACCCATGTGAAGTGGTCCGTCTATGTGGTGTCAGTCACAGTACTGGGCCTAAGACCCCTAAGACCTCAGTCCTGCAGTCAGACCATGTGGGGTCTCACAAATTCCAGTGGGGCTTCACGTGAATGCGCACGCACCATGTGGATCAGACTGCAGGACTGGGGATTAGAGTGGTGCCTGAGTCTTATGCTGAGGTGAATTCCACCCTTAGTACAATTAATACCTGGGGCAAAATTCAGACTTCATATAGCTAATCAGCTCCATTGACTTCCTTATTTGTTACTTGTACTGGAGTTGCATCTGTTTACACCAGCTCTGATTTTTGCCCTGTGGTGTGACCAGTTTTAAGGTCTGGCGCTGGGTGTTGGGCACCAAAGAAGAAAAACATGAGCCAACGGTCTGCTCCGTGCAAAGGCAAATGTTGAGATGGGTGACCGGGTAAGCCAAGAAGGGCCACATGAGGAACATGTAGGTTAGAGACATACTCAAAGAAACAGCCATAAACAAAAGAACGAGGGAGTGCAGGCTCAGATGGTTTGGTGATGTAAAGCGCGGTCTAGACAACTATGTGGGTAAGAGAGTCCAAGAGATCAAGACTGAAGGGAAAAGACTGCGAGGCTGACCCAAGAAGAAATGATGGGATGTCATAAGGGAAGATACAAAAACAACTAGGAATCTGGTGGCACCTTAAAAACTAACAGATGTATTTGGGCATAAGCTTTTGTGGGTAAAAAAACTACTTCTTCAGATACACACAAAAGCTTATGCCAAAAAAAAATCTGTTAGTCTTTAAGGTGCCACCGCACTCCTTGTTATTTTTGTGGATACAGACTAACACCACTACCCCTGATAAGGGAAGAGGTTAGTTTGTGGTGTGATGGAAGCTAAGGCATTGAGCAAAGTGCTTTGGGATTAACACCAGGAAAAGAGGAGGGGTGTGTGTGTGTGTGTCTAAGTCAAATATATAGGTGCATAGAGCTAGGCTTAATGTCTGAAAAAATCATGAGCAGAGGCAAAAGTAATATGGCTCCTCACATTTTATTTAGAAGAAAATAAAGAAAGGCTGAAAGCTAAGTTCTTGGAACGTCTCAAGCCACCATTCCCCCAGATGAGTAAGAGGTTCGCAACTTGGTCCTAAGACTTTTTACTTTTCTTCTTTTTCCTCTTTCCATTCTGAGCCTTTTGCGTCTCCTCTCACCCCTTCTGTACTCCCCTGCTTTCCTCCACTTTTGTTTTCTATCTGCCATCTTGGATATGTTTGTAGATAGCTCCAGGGCCGATTGCCACATCCTTCCCACTCCTCCTTCTGTAAAGTTGGTGTCAGCTTGACATGCGCCTAGTTCAGAGCTGTATTTTGGGTATAGACACCAGTACCACCAAAGTTAAGGGATGTTTAGATCCCGTGTTCTTGCTGGACCTGTCTCTAGCAGAGATGAAACCATTCCAAACCCCCTGACGCAAATACCCCCAAATTTTGCAGTCTGGGAGTGGGGATCATCTTTAATCTTACCAGTCTACTAAATTGCAGGCTGCATGGATTTTATCACACAAGGCAGCAAAAGCCAAAACCCAACATACAAGATCAAGTATGATGAGATTCTGAGCCATGAAAAGCAGCACGAAATCAAGATAAATCTCCACTCCTTCTACTTCTGCCTTTTTGTTCTTTGCTGAAATGTCACACTCAATATTGACTCTAATGTCTCTCTTCCCAGCCCTTACACATCTGGACTCCCATTGAAATTAGGGGGAATCTCTCTTGTGTGAAGCGTGCAGGGCTGGGGTCTAATAGATTGTCTTTAAAACAGCATAAATTATAAGCATTATTTTTAAAGTATAGGAATTAAAAAGGGAAAAGCCATTCACCAACTGGGATCAGAAAGAAAGTGCAACTGCCCTTGTATGGGGAAGTATTGCATTATTAGATATAATTACAAGATATTGATCCCTTCTTCTGAAGCACTGTCTACTGTGAGAGACAGACTCTTGGACTAGATAGATCATTGATCTGTTATGGACACATTCCTATGAAATGCAGGGATTTCCTATGTTTAAGACTGAACGTCTAGCAGTGTTTACATATGAGTTTGCATGTCAAAGGAAAACAAGCCCTGAATGCCAGAACCTGAGTTGCATACATGCTGCTTCCAAAAAAGGCCTGGCCTAAGTGACTGGGAGTCCGCCCAAGCCCCAGACATGATTTAGAAGCGTCAGATAAAATAGCCTGAAAGGGACCTGAACCAAAATCCTGAACTGTGGTGAAGCTTGGATCTGAATCCAGTTCTTGCAGCCTAAGGCCGTCTCCTCTATAATAGCCCTTGGATTTGACCCTAATTTGGAACTGAAACCATATTGGTAAATATTACTCACTTTACTGAATATGTACACCCATTCCTAACAAGTGGTTCATTGAATAGTTGTGCTGGTGCCATTCAGGATGAGATTCTGAGCTTCCGTTAATACCCACTGAAATCCTGATTCTAATCTCGCTTCCTGTGGTTTCACGCCAGCATAGCACCATTGACTCTAGTGGAGTCAGTCGTGAGTTGAGGCCTGATCCAGAGCCCACTCAGATCTATGGAAGTGTTTCCATTGACGTGAAGGGGCTTTGGAGCGGGCCTTTTCATCAGTGTAAAGGAGAGCCAAGTCAGGCCTGTGGACATCGGGGTGCTCAGAATCAGGCCCATGGAGAGGCAAGGAGAGGCTTTCACACATTAGGCACAGAACTGCAAAAGCCTAATGCACCAATTCCCTCAGAATAACCAGAGCCACATAATTTAGGAATCTCGGGGCTTCTGTTGGCTTTTTTTTGTTGAGCTGTTCTGAAGAGAAACACTTGAGTTAATAAGGAACAATGACCATAGACTAGCTCTGTAATTACATGATATTTACTTACTGGTTATTCATTTATAAGTTTACATCTGTTCACGGTAACACTTGTGCCATGTAATCGGCAAGGCATAAATAACCATGTAATTATTCTGAAATTACCCCCTAATTATCCCCGCCATTATGGATCTGATTTATGGTTATTTGTTCCAAAGGGGAGGGGGGAGGAGAAGAGGAAAAGCTCAGTGTGAAGCAGTGGCTGAAATGTACGGGATCTAATTCTGTCTTCTCCACCCTCCCTGAATACTCCCAATGATTGGCTGGATTCTTGGAGAAGGGGCTTCATGCAGAAGTGTTTTGTGATTCACAGAGGCCCCTTGGGCCCCTGGCAGTCCAGCCTCATTAAGGGGCAGCATGGAACTGCAGTGCCCCAGGGAAAGCGCGCAGTCTCCATTGTGATGGTGAGAATCACAACTGGATCCCTGCTTCCTCTTTTTTCCACAGGGGAAATAATCTTCCTCAGCCCTTTTACTGGCACACCTCACTTCCCCCTCCAGCTGGTTCAGTTACGTTGGCTGGCATGTTAGGGGAGGAGCCAGTGCCCACCCCTCCCTGCCCACCTGCATCAGAGGGGGTGTGGCCTTCGCTTTCCCCACTGTACAGGGGCTGGGGCTGCAGGTACCCAATCCAGGTGAATACACAGGCTTACACTTATATGCAGCTGGGCTGATGGCTGATCCTGGAGATGCTTGATCAAGGTTATAGCTGTACAGTTTGGAGATTGGGAGGAGAGGAGGGAGAGGGCTTTTTACAAATACACACTCAGCCTGTAGCCCTTTTCTTGCAGTCATACACACACTGGGGTTTGAGCACCTACCCAGAGAAACAGGCTGCTTGAAATACAAGTTAGAGGGAGGTTGTGACTGTCCATTATCCTGTGTCTGAGTAGAAGAGCTTCATTCTTACTTTCAACTTCATACAACAAGGCCTGCACTGTGGCCCATACCACACAGGGACTGTCTTTGTCTTAAGAAAGTATTTTAAAATAGCCCCAAAGCTTCCAGTTCAAATTTGTTTGCTAGATTTTTTTCTTTTCTTTTTTTAAAGAAAGACCCTGGGCCAAATTCAGCTCTGGATTAAGCAGGCACAAATCCTCATTCTCTTCTGTTTAGGTTCATAGACTGTGCCCATCACCATGGTATCTGAGAACATTGAACCGGATTCTCCTCTCACTGATACTTGTGTAAAGTAGGAGTGATGCTATTGAAGCCAATACTTGTGTAAAGTAGGAGTGACGCTATTGAAGCCAATGAAGGTGTAAACACAGAGGAAGGTCTTAATCCCATTGAAGTCAATGGAAAGACTCCATTGTCTTCTGTAAGTGTTGGATCGGGCCCTCAATGAGAGCAGCATAAGGCCTGTTGACCTCACAACACTGCAGTCACTCACAAGACCTTTGGTCCCATCTCTGCTAAGCCACTGAGGTGGGCTGGTGCCTTGAGCAATTATTTCCATCAGGGTTTTCTATCCAAGGCCAGTGCATATGCACTGGTCTGAACGGAGTGTTTGGGCATTAGCCTGACAACTGTCAAACACCAAACAGATTGGGAGGGTGGAAGAAACTTGTTTTTCAAAGAAACATTCATCTAGAACTGTAGTCCCTGTGTATCTTTCCTTTCCAGCATTGAGTTCACCACCAGTAGCTGGCCCGATTTGAACCACAGTTGCAGGGAAGGGAAGGCAAAGGGCTAGGCACTCCTCATGCTTCAGAAATAGACATCACAATAATTCAGCCCCCTACCAACATGAATCTTAGTGAAGATGAACTTTGCAGAGAGACCCTCCGTGCTAGGCGGTGAGGGGAATAAGAATATGGCCGTAGCAGGGCTGCTAAAGCAATGGAAATGGCTAACAGGTGACATCAAACCAACGGAAATTCCAAATAACATCAGATTTCCCTTGCTGATTGACAGGTGAGCCTGCCTCAAATCCACAAGCAGGTGTTTTCCATCCTTCAAACCAGCTCTTTATGCTTTGCCTGTCACAGCAAATTGGCTGAGGGTAACAGTACACTAAAATGTGTAGTAACCCAGGGTAGCCTGATCGGTATACTAACAATAACCAAACTAAGTAAGGTACAATGTTCTGTATATCAGTTGGGCTGTTAAAGTGAAATGTCTGTGTCTGACAATCGTTGCTTGAAAGTGCTGTTTAATGTCCTTGTCTGTAAATAAGCCCCAGTGTTTGGCCTTTTGCTAATATTGTGAAGTTTTACATTAGGGTTCTGGTGTAAATAACTTTATTGCTACTTAGACCCTGGTATCCTGTATCTGTGCATAATTACTTGAAAGCTATATTTTTTTCTGTATGTCGACATACACTTTTCTAGTGAGCGGGACATTCAGATTTGCAGTTTGTTTCCTGGCGGGGGGGAGGGTTCCTTTGCAATTTTATATTCTGTTTTGGTTTCTAATCTTTCAAAGCCCAAGTCATCCTGCTGTTTTAAAGAGAATTTTGTGGTGTGATTTGCAAGCCCTTTATCTGCATTGGGTTAGAGTTCTGTTAAAACTGCATGTCCCTGCATACAGATGATTGTATACGCTCTTCTTTTCTGAATGGATATTACTGTATTAAAGCAACTACACTCATTGTGGGTATGGTTCTCTCTATAGGCCTGTGCAGGTCCAGCCTGAGTGATGTAAGGACCAGAGGCTCGCTGTTAAAATGCTATTCCCCTTTGATAGCTCTGGAACAGCAGCAAATGAAATAAACTTTCACCATAACACTTACAACACATTTTCTTTTCATGTGAATTTTGCTTTGGTAAGTGAAATCCTCCCATGAAACCACTTCCATGATGCTGGCCTGGACTGGGGGGATCAGCTTCAGGCAGAAGAAGGGTGTTCAGTCTTCCTGTCTTTCACTACTATGCTGAAACTGCTCATTAAAAATGCTACTGGCGACTTTCCTACTCAATGACTGAAACCTCCCAAATGGATTTCACACAGTTATTAGCAGGACCGGCTCCAGGGTTTTGGCCGCCCCAAGCAGCCAAAACCACACACACACAAAAAAAATCTGCGGCGGCAATTCAGCAGGAAGTCCTTCACTTCGAGCCGGAGTGAGGGACCGTCCGCCGAATTGCCGCCGAATACCTGCACCTGCCGCCCCTCTCCGGAGCAGCCGCCCCAAGCACCTGCTTGAGAAGCTGGTGCCTGGAGTCGGCCCTGAATCCAGCATAGCATCAGGAGGTGCCATCTTTCAGCGGAGATATAAAACCCAAGGCTTGAGTAACTGTGGGCATTAAAGAATCCCCATGGCAGGGCCGGCTCCAGGCACCAGCGAAGGAAGCAGGTGCCTGGGGCGGCCAATAGAAAGGGGCGGCAGTCCATCCGTTGTTGGGGTGGCACGGCCGGGTCTGTGGCAGCAATTCGGCAGCGGGTCCTTCAGTGCCTCGCTTCCTCTTCGGTGGCACTTCGGTGGCAGCTCAATCGCTCCGCTTCAATTGGGTCTTTTCTTTCTTTTTTTCTTTGCTGCTTGGGGCGGCAAAAAAGCTGGAGCCGGTCCTGGCTGCATTATTGTCTCACTACTCTTTCATAGGGAAAAGTACCACCTACTGAATCACCAGCATCTTAGATACTCCTTGGATGTCTCCCCCCAATGCAGTGATCCAGCCCAAAGCTACTTAGATTGCTTACAAGATCTGATGTGCTGATCAAAATATAAGTTGGAATGGCTGCAAGCAA